GTCCAGTGATGGCTAACCTTTAGGTTACCCAAACTGCAACCCCAAACCCACTTATTTATCGCAATTTAACCTGAATAATGAGGTTTTACCACCTAAAATAATGATAAACAAGGCAGAGTTCAGCTAATTGTTCTAAGAAAAACGTGATAAATGCCCCTTCATTTTTTTCTGCTTTTGAAATATTTTGAAAACTTTTGTAATATCATTTCTCTCTTTCCCTCCCTCCCTCTCTCTCTCTCTTCACCTCCCCCTCTCTCTCTTTTCTTCCCTCCCTCCCTCCCTCTCCCTCCCTCTCTCCCTCCCCCCTGCGGGAGAAAGGATGGAGCTGGGCTGGGGCGACGGTGCGTGTGCCCATAGAGAGGGCTCTGACTGCCACCTCTGCCACCACCACTGCCCTAGTCCAAGCAGGAGACCCTCCCCCATTTCTGACAGATGGCAGCCCGGTGTCTTCTTGAAAGCTTCCAGGGACGGAGCTCCCACAACGTCTGAATATTAGGGATCTGTATCATATCAAGCAATTAAGTAATTGCACTAAACAAAAAGAATGATATCCTTGAAAGAGCGCAATATTGGATAATAAAATTAGAAAGTGCTGTTTCAATGCCCCGGGGGTCACAGAATCCTTTTTAAGAGGAAGCCAGATTTGCCCAACAACCTTAACAGCTGCAGTGATTCACTTAACAGCCGTGGCAAGAAAAGTCGTACAACGGGACAAAACCCACTGAACAAGCGTCTCGCTCGGCAACAGAAATTCTGGGCTCAGTTGTGGTCTACTTGTACGACCTCCTAGGACAGAGGCCTTCAAACTTGGCAGCTTTAAGACTTGTGGACTTCAGCTCCCAGAATTCTCCAGCCGGCAGAGCTGGAATTCTGGGAGCTGAAGTCCACAGGTTTTAAAACTGCCCAGTTTGAAGGCCTCTGTCCTAGGAGGTTCTTGGATGGAACTCAATGCCCAGGCAGGCCAACACCGGATACAGAACTGGTGGTTCTGATTTCTTCTGGCAGATAAAATCATCGAGATGCAGGCCGGCTCCGGAGTTTCCCCCGGGGTCCTGGGTGACAAAACCCAGCAGATTCGAGGCCTCTCCGTGGGGAAACAGAGGGGGGGGGAAACATTATTGAATGAATCCCATGGCAGCTCAGGATGACTTCAGCCTCTCTGACTCAGGGGCTGGAGACGAGATGATGCACAGGGATGCAGCAGGAGGAGGGTGAGGGGGGAACCGCCTGCTACAGCACATTTATGCCCCGGTTGATCTTAAAAGGGAAGCGAGGAAATAATCTGGGGGGGTGGGGGGAGGAATGCAAGAGGCAGAATTGGGCTTGGAAACCTAACTCGGGCCCACTGCAAAGCCGGAGCAAATATTGTTTTACACGCATCCAATAGGAAATGCTCACAGATAGAGAGAGAGAAATGCACAGGGGGAATTAAAAAAAAAAAGCTGACCAAACAGACCAGGCAATATAAACAGGAATGAAAACAGCCTCAAACCAACACAGACTCACTGCCATGAAACCTATCGTCCTCATATCATCATCATCATCATCAGCCCAACTTGAAGTCTCCAGTCCAATCCCAAGCAACCTTTGTTGTCTTCCTTTATCTATTCTTGCTGGGGGGGGGGGTGCTTCCCTGGATGGGGACGATTGTGGCCGAGCCCTCCAGGTTCCTTCCTAGTGGCCAGAGATGTCTTTGGAAATAAAAGGAATACAGTTCAGGTTTTGCAGCTTGGTGGCCTTCCCAGCCCCTTCAAAGTAAATAAGAATGGAAGGGAAGGGAAGGGAAGGGAAAGGAAGGGAAGGGAAGGGAAGGGAAGGGAAGAGAAGAGAAGAGAAGAGAAGAGAAGAGAAGAGAAGAGAAGAGAAGAGGAAAGAGTAGAATGGAATGGAATGGAATAGAAACAGAATAGAAACAGAATAGAAATAGAATAGAAATGGAAATAATTAGAATAGAATAGAAATAGAATAGAAATGGAAATAATTAGAATAGAATAGAAATAGAAATAGAAATAGAAATAGAATAGAATAGAATAGAATAGAATAGAATAGAATAGAATAGAATAGAATAGAATAGAATAGAATATATGGAATGAAATGGAATGGAATTCTTTATTGGCCAAGTGTGATTGGACACACAAGGAATTTGTCTTTGGTGCAAATGCTCTCAGTAAATATAATTCTCCAAAAAAAAAAAAAAAAAAGCCCAATGAAAGAGTATTTAGGAGCAGAAAGATAGGTCCAGGGGCCAGATTTTTAAAACCTCGGTCTTCAAAGCAAAATACCATTTGTGGGGGAGAGGAGTGGAATTATGATAGAACCAAAACAGCCACGGAATAATTCAGCACGTCAACATTAAAAGCAAAGAAGGTTGCTTTTCTTGCCTCCATGTAAGCAAGGGACTTGTTTGTTTGTCCTGTTTTCTCTCCAAAATGTAAGAGAGAAACAAAACCAGGCCAGTCTCTCTGAAGCTGAAATGCCAAAGATGAGGTTGTCTTGCAAAAGACAAAGCAGCCTATAATAACCAGGCCCTTCCTGAGTAACTTTCTGAATAGGAACAAGGCTCTGCATTCAAACCCGACAGCTGGAAGGGAGTTTTCAGGCCATCAATCCAGAAATCCAGATGAAGCCTCCTTCACAGTTGGGGGTCTGTCTTCTCTTGGCCAGGACAGGAGGGAGGGAGACCACCAACTCATTGCATCATCCCATCACAAGGAGACGGCGAGTTCTAGTCCTGCCTTAGGATGAAAGCCAGCTGGGTGACATTGGGCCAATCACCAGGAGGTTGTGAGTTCTAGTTCTGCCTCAGGCATGAGAGTAACTTAGGTGACGTTAGGCCACTCACCAGGAGGCTATGAATTCTAGTCCTGATTTAGGCATGAAAGCCAGTTAGTGACTTCAGGCCAATCACCAGGAGGCTGTGAGTTCTAGTTCTGCCTCAGCCATGAAAGCAACTTGGGTGACATTGAGCCAATCACCAGGAGGCTGTGAGTTCTAGTTTTACCTCAGGCATGAAAGCTGGCTGGGGGACTTTGGGCCAATCACTAGGAGAGGGTGAGTTCTAGTTCCACCTCAGGCATGGAAACCGGCTGGGTGACTTTGAGCCAATCACCAGGCAGCTGTGAGTTCTAATCCAGATTTAGGCAGGGAAGCCAGTTGGGTGTCTTTGAGCCAGTCCCTCTCTCCTAACCCGACCAACCTCACAGGGTTGTTGTGGAGAAAAAGAGGAGAAGGAGGAGGCGGGAGTATTAGGTATGTCCGCTGCCTTGAGTTACTTATAAAGTATTAAAAGTGGGCCAAAAAATTAAATGAATAAATAAATGAACCCTACAGCTGAGTGCTGCTGCGTGTTACAACCAAAAGATAACAAAGCCCTTCAAGTGAGGCTTCAGTTGCCTTCCTGGCCAGGGCCACGTTGTTTCCTAGACGGCGGAGACCAACGGGACCCCCAAGGGTTAGGGTCTCCAGTGTATAAGCTCTCAGTGTGCACACAAATAACAACAAAGCGACAGGTCACAGGTCACAAATCACAGTTACAATCATTAACCATAAGATTAAAAGCCGCAGGAGAGAAAATGAGAAGAAGGACGTTCGATTCACTTCCTCGGATTTTTTTCTAAAGCCAGACGAATCGTTTCCCTTTTCCAGTGATGTTCTCTACTCCGTCGGGTTCTAGATCAGCTGAGAACAAGGTCAAGGCATCCTAAGACAAGGAGCAGGAATCCAATCCTGGTTGGCTGGCTCTGGCATGAGAAACTAAGCAGGATGGGACCATCAAAACCCAATCGGAAAATAAAATAAAGAGACGCCTAGAAGGCAGCTATTCCCTTCCTGCACAGACATGAGATCGAGACCAAACAAACTATCCTAAAAAATATTCCTTTCTGCATCACAGGAGTGAAGAATGTCTTGGAGGAGACTCCAATATTCCCTTGCCTTCTCCAGAGTCTGGGTCACAAAGCCAACCCCCCCCCTCACCCACCCACCCCAAGCTGATATTTCATCCCAACGGCCCATCTATGTTCCTCTGAATACAAATGAGAAACCCTCCTCAATTCTCGGATGCAATTCCAAATTTCGCTTTCCAAGGAATATGTTTTTGGAAAAGCCCATTTCCCCCCAACAGGACGGCACCTTTTTCACCTGCACTTCTGAGTCGCAAAAGCTGCATTTCCACAACTAAGAAAAAGGGCAAGGAATAAAACGTGCAAAAAAAAAAAAAGAAGAAGAAGTTAGGATTATCCTGGTTTGTTAGAAAGAGGGTTTCTGGACTTCCAGTCTATGTTCTTTAGAGTTTCGGATTCAAACAAACTGCAGGTTAACTCAATAGCTGGCTTAACGACTGTTGCTGTGCAAACAGAGGTATTTCATTAGAAAAAAAGATGAAGAATTTGATTGAGTTTGGATTCTGGAGGAAATTTACTAGCCGATCTTGTTCCTTGACAAATGTCAGAGGGGCATCCCATTTATTCTCTCTAAGCCAAGAAGATGGGCAGCTCCATTTCTGTGCCTGAGGCTCAAGGCAGCTAATGCCCCAAATGCACCTTTCTTTCTTGGCCCTTTGCATGCCAGGAGATGGTTGTGGTTGTGACTGCAAAACACAAGCAGGCCACACACACACACACACACACACACACACACACACACACAAAACCAACTCTTGGGGAAATCGCTCTGCTCTTGAGCTCCGGGCGACGCAGCCCAGGAACTGTCCAAATCCCCGCCGAGCGCCTTTGCCTTGGCATCGGCTGCGTTTCCCGGCGCCCCGTCTAAGCGAGCCTCCGGGGCTTTCCTGGTGGTCTCCTCTCCCGGGTCAGCTACCGAGGAGCGCAAGCCCTTTCCCCGCGCAAGTCTTGGAGCTCCGCGGACAGCTTCCCGGGGATCGGGGGGGGGCGGGGGGGCCTTCCCCCCGGCGGGGGGGGAGCCGCGCCCGCCCCCCCCCCCCCCGGGGGCCCGCCTGCCTCCCTCCCTCCCTCCCTCCCGCCGTCGCGCGTGGCTCTCACCTCCCGGCAGGGCGGCAGCTGCAGGCTGGCGGTGGCGGCCACGGCATCGGCATCGGCCGGCCAGCCCAGCAGAAGCGCTGCCCAGCCGCCCAGCCAGCACAGCGCGCCCGGCAGCCGGATCATCGCCCAGGGCAGGCGCCGTGCCCGCTCGCCGCCGCTCCGTCTGCTTTCCTGCCTGCCTTCCTCCGCTGCCCTCCCGGCCGGGCACCGACGCTCCCTGCCTGCCTGCCCGCCTGCCAGCTGCTGGGCGACCGAGGAGCCGGAGGGGAGGGGGGGAGACTGGGGGGAGGGAGAGGGCGGGGCCGCCGGGGGAGGAGGACCTGCCACTGCGCAGGCGCCAGTGGGGAGGGGGGAGGCAGGGGCTCCCCAGCCCCTGGCCCCGTTGTGCCAGCTCGGAGGGGATGCGCGGGAGAGGGCGGAGTGGCCGATGCGCTCCGAGGGGCGCAGGTGGTGAGATGCAGGCTGGCACCAAGGCAGCAGAGCCGCCTCTTTCGGTTTTTATCTTGTGGTCGTAAGTCGAGGGCTACCTGGACTGGGACAAAGCCCCCCCCTCGCAGAATAATAATAATAAACCCCCCTGAAATAGGAGAATTTGATGTGTTGATTTCACTTCCACAACGGAGCCCAAAATTTCCATTGCTAAGCCAAACATGCTTGTCAAGTGGATTTTGCCCCAAATTTCTCCCTGCGGTTGTTAAGTGAATCTGGCTTCCCCCTTGCTGGTCAGAAGGTCACAAAAGGGGATTGAATGACCCCAGGATGCTGCAACCGTCATAAATATGAGCCAGTTTGCCAAGTCTCTCAATTTTGGTCAAGTGACCAGGGGGAACTTGCAATGGTCAGAAGTGTGGAAAACAGTCCTAGGTGACTTTTTTTTCCAGTGCCAACGTAACTTCAAAAGGGTCGCTAAAGGAACTGTTGTAAGTCGAGGGCTACCTGTATTTGTAGCTCAGGGTTGAAATGAGGGGTCCTTGGTGTGGCCTGAGCTTGGTGGGTTTTTGTAGACGTTTCATTACCGAACTAGGTAATACCATCCGTTCTAGATGAGGGCCAGGCTGGGAACGGTTAGGTTGGCACCATGCGCTCGCTGCGCCCCAGGAGATTCCCAGATTCACAAGGCACCTGAATCCTAAGTGAATCACCAATTGGATCACGCAAGAATTTAATTTTTTTATCCAGAAAGATTGTATTTGTATGATTATTAATTAACCCTGGTTTTCTGAGCCCAGGGCACTATAAAGTAATTGAACAAACTATGTTTGCTCCAAGTCCCTCCTGCCACAAGACAAAGAACCGAGGTTAACATTAACCAGGTTCAGCCTGCCCCCAGGGGGAGGGGGGTGGGCTTGTCTGCAGAGTCGCAACCCAGCCTCCTTATGCTAACTCAGCTGTTAATTTATGGTTCAGTGTGTTGAGCAGACTTGTAAAATTGGATTAATGGAGGGAACCAAGATTTACTTCACCATGGTTACGGGTTGCATGTGATTCTCCTTAAAAGCTTTTGCAGAATATATCTGGATGTTGCCATAAAGTAGAATGTGAGATTTTTGGTGCACATGCAATGAAAGTCAAATGGTAAATGAATATCTTCAAAAGACTCAGAAAAAATATGGCTGTAAAGTTAATGTTTGCAAAAGCAACTGCAATCCATCATAAAAGAAATTCCAAATAAACAGACTTTTTTTTTTCTCTGTGGTGCAATACTGAGAAAAAAAATAGAAAATGAAATCTTTATTTTTATCACCTTCATAATCATCCATCTTCACCATTTCTCCTTTGACTTCCTAGAAAAATCTTGCAAGGTAATAATTTTCACTATTTAAGCAAAACCAGACATTCAGAGAAGCTTACTAATATTTCTTATCCTTTATGGGACTACAATCAGTGGCATGTTATTTTTATATATGGGAGTGTGTAATATATATAAAAATCTGTGGTTTGTAACAATTTAATTCATGTTTCCAAAATATGCACAATGAAATGGCTGTCAGCAGCCGCTAACACTCAGCTCTACTGAATTTCTTTTAACATCTGCATCGGGATTGTCATTTTGTGTCTTTATTATTCCCAAACAAACTAAATCAAAGATTATGATGCAAATGCAGTAATTTTAAAATTCGAACTTGAGCCATATCTTTGGACTGTGCAATCCTAAGCGAAGATAAAATTGTTTTAAGCCTCCATTTTCATGCTACGGAGCTCCACGAAGGAACAAATCACAGACCACATAAAATCAGTTCCTCCTGCAATTTAATGGGTGCATTTGTTTTAACTTAGCATCGTGAAATTATAACAGTGGCATAAAGCTTCAAGTAGGTGACACTGAAATGCACCTGCTGATAGAATGTGAAATACTATGTACAAAAAAAAGCCTGTTAGAAAAAAGTAAAAAATTGTGGCTCCAGATCTTTTCCAAAGTGCTTGTAGGCCCACAAAGAAAGAAAGAAAATCCACGTCCTTCATTCCCCTTGTATTCATTTCTATGCCTTTCTATTTAAAAAACAAAATCCTAGCATTTCCTCTCCTTGGGTGCTGAAAAGCCTCCAAGCCTCCTTTCCTCTTACAAGATCTGCCAGCATCATCATGAGTTTGGGAGTCGGGATAATGCAGGAATTTTCCAGTGAAATGGAGTTCCAGTGTCAAGGAAGCTACTGACAGGCAAAAGACACACCTACACACACACACTAGCTCAGTTCTTAAACGGGAAAGGTGAAGAACCTTTCCTAATTTTGGCTACATGTCAACATTGGACAGAGAATCTGGAGAGACAGGAAAGATGCAGAGTGGTATAGCTACTTCACATAGAGGTGGGACTAGGGTTTCCTGGTGCTCTGAATATTTATTTGTTTGTTTGTTTATTTATGTTATTTAGATTTGTATGCTGCCCATCTCGCTTCAGACAAATTTCCTTTGTTCTTTTAGCCCCACGGAGTCTATTTTAGGGCATGCTTTCATTTCTAGGTGACTCCTACATCAAAAAGTCAGGAACTTTGTACCACTGATTTTTTTTTTACGCTGCCAAATTTGTGCGAAAGAAGGAAGGAAGGAGGGAGGGAGGGAGGGAAGGAAGGAAGGAAAGAGAAAGAAAGGAAGAAAGGAAAGGAAAGGAAAGGAAAGGAAAGGAAAGGAAAGGAAAGGAAAGGAAAGGAAAGGAAAGAGCTGGGGACTCTGAGCGTTTATAGAGGACTTTTTTAAAAAAAGAAAAAGAAACAAGGCAATATGGTGATTGTAACCATGGGATGAAAGCTGGATGCAGCTGTCAACACACAGCTGATGGCCATCACCTTGGATGACCCATGGAGGTCCAGGGTATAGAAAAGGAGCTTTTAAATTATGGAACACCTCTAATTCCCTGCATACTGTTGACCTTCCATAGGTCAGTTCCATCCAGCAAATGCTGAATCAAGAAGAGAAGCAACCTAGAACTAAAGAGAAATTTCCTGACAGTGGAACTGCTTGCCTCCAGAAGTTGTGGGTGCTGCAACACTGGAGGCTTTGAAGAAGAGATTAGACAGCTGTTTGTCCAGAATGGTGTAGGATTTCCTGTCTGAGCAGAGGGTTGGACTAGAAGACCTCCAAGGTCCCTTCCAACTCTGTTATCCTGTTACTCTTAGGTTATTTTTACAGCTATAAACGATCAGATAAAACAGGTTGATGACATTATTGTCGAGATCAAGAGGATCACAAGTAACCCAGTTTTCTCTTTCGAGATAAAGCAGATCTAGGACATTGTGTCATAATGGCTCAACGGTGATTTAAAAAAGTTATTCTGTCTTCCGCAGCGTTATTAAAAGAACTCCGGGAAGGCTGGCATTTTAGTCACTCCAATTTCAATTCAGAGAGGGAAAGAAAATTATTTCATTTACATTTTAATGTAATACGATGAACGGTTGCAGGAACTGGGCCTGGCTAGTCTAGTGAAGAGAAGGACCAGGGGAGACATGATAGCAGTCTTCCAATATTTGAGGGGCTGCCACAGAGATGAGGAAGGGGGTCAAGCTATTTTCCAAGGCACCTGAAGGCCAGACAAGGAAGAATGGATGAATGAAACTGATCAAGGAGATTCAACCTAGAAATAAGGAGAAATTTTCTGACAGTGAGAGCAATCAACTAATGGAATAGAAGTTGCCTTCGGAAGTTGTGGGAGCTTCATCACTGGACGCTTTCAAGAAGAGACTGGACTGCCATCTGTCAGAGATGGTGTAGGGTCTCCTGCTTGGGCCCTGGGGGGGTTGGACTGGATGACCCTTCCAACTCTTGTTATTCTATTCTACTCTAAAGGAAAAACCTACCAAGTGATGTGTGCACACATCTGCTTCAATCTAGCAGAGAAACTGGAAGAAAACATTGTCTTCATCATAGACAGAGCTATGCTGTGGAGCTATGGAGGGCCAGAATTTGGATGGGGTTCACAGGGGTGTCTCAGCTAAAGAACAATATACAAACAAGCCTACAGCTTGAAAGCGCTTCCACATAGTTGCACGTAAGTGAAGTGCCTTGAATCTAGCTATTAATATAATTCATATTTGAATGGATGCATCCTGGAAGACCAATCGATCTTATCTTTTGTTCCATTCAGAAAAGTTAGAGCATCTATTTGGTGCAAATGCCCAAAGATAAGCATATATATGAAGAGATCTTACATTGTTTTGCAAATAAATTTACTCCAATTACTCACACACACACCCCAGTGAATTTATTTATTAGCTTTACAGTCCACCGCAATCTAAGAGACTCTTCATATACATCAACAGCAGCGCAATAAAGCATCTCACCAAAAGGATATAAACACAATTAATCAAAAGCCACGCAATCATCAGTCACTTCGGTGGTGTCGGCTGCTTCTCCCAGAGGCTTTCTGAAACAATTTCAGTTTTCAATAGCGTGCAGAAAGCTAGTAAAGTGGGAGCAGGTTGAAACTTGGAGGGAAGTCCATTCCGAAATGGAGATGTAACCCCAGAAAATGCTCACCTACAAGCTTCTCCACACACACACACACACTCACCTTATGAAAGTGGGGTCTCCTGAGCAGGTTCCCCCAGGATGTCCAAGTCAGACAGGTTAAAATTGGTGGAGAAAAGGTCTTCTTGCAATGCTCTG